ACCAGTATTTTCCATTTTCGCGCCCGACCATGATAAAACGTCAAATAGATTAGGAAACTTGCAGTAAATTACGACAGAGCTTAACTCAGGAGTTACCCTTATTTGAGGGTTATACCAAAATTAGGACCTATATTTAATACATTGTCAGTTAGGAATCAAACTTACTGAGAAAATGTCTAAGTTTCGTTAACTCAATTCAAAATTATGGCTAAATTTGGGCTATATCGACGGATATTACCGATTTTACCAAAAAAAAAAATTCAAAATTCATTATTAAATTTCAATTTTCTATTGTAAATATATTTCTATTTTATAGTGGACATTTTTATTTAAATATTAGAACGTTTTGAATTGGACTCAGGTTTGATAACTGATCAAACATGTTCATACATTTCTCCCGGTGCTGGATATTCACTGCATCTGAATTCCCGAATAAAAATTTAACAATGAACCTTCCTTCCTCTTCTTCTCTTTTTTTTTTGTGCTTCTAAGAAAAAACTGTGTGGCGCTTAAATCCTCCAACCAATCCTCGCTCTATTCCCTCTCCCCAAATTCCCTTGAATAATTTGGCGCGTATTTGCAAATGGAATAGCAAACAGCAGACAAGTGATGCCGCATTGCCGTCATAGAATGGCGACCAACGGAACCGAACCGAACCGAACCGAACAACAATGGAAAAGGTGAAAACAATTATTATCGGTTTGTTTACGATTTCTTACGTGTTGTAAATATTCCACTTTCAAAGGAAGACAACAAACAACGCGCCTGCCTGACTGTCTGTCTGTCTCGCTGTCCGTCTGTCTGTCTGGCTGCATTCATGAATATATTTTAGCTTATGTCACTCCTTCGGCCAGACAGCGAAAACCTCTAACTGTGGCGACTATCGGAGATACCGATGGTCAGCAAAGCGATACAAAAAAACACAGGAGACACGTTGTTGTGCATCTTCACCCTAAATTTTATTCTGCAAACTAAAGCAAAAAAAATGGATCGTCGAGAAGAACAGTGATCCAAAAAATACATATTCGAAATATATTCAGGGAGGGTTATAACTCAAAGAATGTATTTTTTTCATTGTTGATATGGAATGAAAACTCAAAAATTGTTCATATATAGAGTAAAAATTTAAACTCCTAACTTATTTGGGTGACAATTTTAATTTATCCAAATCGGTTTTAGTTTATAAAATTATAGCAAAAGCTATAGTCGTGCGCTGCCGACAATGTAATACCCTTCATCACTATAATATATTGAAAGCCCCCTTAGATCCAAATCCAAAACAATTTCACACAAAAGTCGTGGTCCTCTATATAATCCAATATATACTCGCAATGAATAATCCCATAACAACATAAAATTATACCTAAAATGTTGATTTCTTTTTGTTTATTTCAATCCCTAAATAAACATCTTCCAGGACAATAGACTTAATTTTTGACCCCAGCCCTACCCCCATGGAAAATTTCGTGATGATCGGACTATATTTTCGACCTGAATATAAAACTGAATATTCATGTTTTTTTTTTCTTTTTTAAACGATTTTCGATTTTTTCTGGAAAGAGGCCATTCCAAATTAGTGAGAGTTATCCAGCGGTTCTTGACTTATAAACGGTATATAACATCAATCTCTCTTACACATATCATACCTATTTTTCTATATATCCGATATCTTGGCTATCAGCATCACTGTAACGGTCAGAAGTGACCTTTTAATGTCTTTGTGATTTCGTCGGGATTAAAAATACTGGATTATTTTCGTATTTATAAAAATAAAAGTTATGATCTATGTCCGAAGATCAAACAAAATGTTAGGTCTCTGTCCAGGCCTAAACTCTAACCCCATGAATTGGTCTATAATTGCGACCTGCAAACTCAGGATAATTATCTATTTTTTGTTTGTTTGTTTGCTTCTCTTCTGACCCTAATGCCACCTCCACGCAAAATTGAGTGAGGATCATGCCATAATGGCGACATATCGCGCGATTACAAACTAAAATGGACAGACAGACTGACGGACGGAAGGACAAACATAGCTAAATCGACTCAGCTTGGCTAGATAGGAAGATCCATATATAGCATCCTATGTGCAGGACAAATATTTCGAAGTGCTACATAATTTTTGGCCCAACCAAACTTATAAAACCCCCAACATATGGTGTTATAAGTATAAGTATGTATAAACCATAGTATCGAGGGTATTATAAGTTCGTCATTCGAAATAGAATTTTTGGACCCCACAAAGTATATATATGGTGGCGCAAAGTAATCCTCCTATCAGAAAATGCTATAAATTTCACGATTGGCCCCTAACTGCGCACGAACCATTATGACCTACAAATACAAATTCTTAGACAAATTCGTCAAAAAATGTGGCAAAAATCATCAAAATGCCGAATACCGGGAGGTACCGTTATATGGGAACTACACCAAAACGTGGACCGATATATCTCATTTTCAATACCAACCATCCTAGACACAATACAAATTATTCTGCTAAATTTTGACGCTTTACGTCAAATAATGTGGCCTGTATCGTGATTTCAACAGACAGCCGGACAGACGGACTGACATACAGACGGAGAGACAGACAGACGGACATAGTTAAATCGACTTAGAATTTTATGCTGATTATGAATATATATACATTATGGGGTCTACGACGAATATTTAGGGATGTTAGAAACGGAATGATAAAGTTAATATACCCTCCTTTCCGTATAGGCAGCAATATAACGATAACTTCCTACATTCTCTATTTTTATGATTTTAGCAGAATTTTTCAATGGACTTTTTTGAAAACTCCTTCCAAGTGGTGTAGAATATTTAAAGTTCGGGACGGACAATATTATGCTCGTTTACGTGTTTTTATTAAAAAAAACATAGTTGGGCTTTGCCGACCATGGTATACCATTCAAGGAGATAAGCTCCTAAATATCTTAATCCGATTTCAAGTTTATTGTTCAAATAATGAAGTGCGTTTCCATTTTGTGGAACTCGGGTCCGATATATATTTTGAATATAATCTTTCTCATGCACTCTATAGCAATGCTATTTGGTACAAAATATTAAAATGTCTTCGTCAAATTTAGTGAAATTCGATTCAGAATTGGATATTCCCTCCATACATTAGTTCCCTCTGAAACCAAACTATAACTGATCTAAAGCCACATGTTGAGGGGTGCTATGACATACTTCAAATAAATTCTTTTGCTACGGGAGCTCTTCTAAATCCCCGCCCCGCCCGACCTTTGACTTTTCCTTACAGGTTTTTTATTTGGGTTTTTGGAAATTTTGTTGACCATTTTTCCCAACGGAATATTTATTATATTACGTTATACGGAATATTTTCGATTTTACCCCCAGCCCAATAGCTACAAAAAATTCTATGATATGAACAAAATGAGCCTAATCGAAATAACAGTATTAGAAACCAGGTCCCTTTTGACGAAATCCGTTTAAGAAAAATTTGGAGTCGATAACTCACGAGGGAGTATTCAAATTTGGTACATCGTAGAATTGCCAAACTGAGGTCAAATTGTAAGATTGGAAATGTCTGTCCATTTCCTATGGTACATTTCGCACAAAATTTCAACATTGCAAAGGCTTCTCCTAAACTTTAACCCTACGCAAAATTATGCTTTGGTAGGCCAATAATTGTGACCATTAGCCACTGCAAAATCAGAAAATTTTAAGTTTTTGGTCCATTTTATACCTTTAACATTATGCGTTCATCTCCCCCAACTATTCCCAGTAACTCTAACTTTATGTTTTTCTCACCTTTATAAAATGCGAAATTATTGTCCAGATCTCTACGGAAATGTAGGTCCAATCCTTATGTTATGTCTCCAAAAAGGGTATACATAAATAATGGCCAAACTCTGAGAGCAGACATCCGCCGGAATACCGCCGAATACTTGTTGTATATAGCACGTACATCAGGGTAGTGTTATTTTTCAATTGAATTGACTGTAAATCGAGCCTATATACCTACATAGATTCAAATTTTGATCCGATACGCGCAAAACTCTACAATTTTGGGTTGAAAATTGCTCTAAAACTATCTCTAGGCTTCTATTTTCAAAGGCTGTATATTTACTCGAAAATCGAAAAATTTTCAGTCGAAACGCTGTGAGCCGTAAAATGACATTGTCAACATTCTGCAAACACTGTGAACTGTGCCAAACAAAAATTTACTTTCGATACAATTTTGTTTGGTTTTTTTCATCTTCGGTTCTTTTTTTTTGAAAAAATACCAAACAATGTTGAATAGAACTCCAACCACAAGGATGTTTGGGGGGAACCTCCAGAAAACATTGAATTTTGGTTGTGTTGCAATAACTTCAATTCTTTGTGGTATGCAGATGAGGGCAACAAAAAAATTAAACTCCAAAAACGCAACAGCAACAACAAAGGGTGTGTGGTTTTCAAGAAATATTCCACACACATACAGAACAACTCTCCCCCAACAACAAAGTATGGGAGAATACTTAAAGTTGTTGTTGTTGGTGGTGGATACGCCTGCGCCTTATGGAGTTGGTGATGAGTTTGCGATCTTTTGGAGCAGATTATATTAACAAGATACCCTTAGAGCATATCGGTAAAGGCTAATGCAGTTGTTGGTGTTGTTGTTATTGTTTTTGTTGGCGCACATACATCACAGTTTATCCCAGCATTGAGTTGAAGTTTTATGAGCTCACTACGAGAATGAGTGCGAGTGTGTGTGTGTGTGTGTGAGTTTTGTGTCTATCTCATTGCTTGTGTGTTAATGTGCCTTTGATCCGTTTGTAGTAGCAATGGTATGGATGCCTTAGTGAATACGATCGGACTTATTTGTGTATTGATGTTTTGTTGTTGGTGGTGGTAGTGCTGGTGGCATGTATGTGCGCAGCCGCCACCAACACCGCCGACGCCACACATTTATTTTTTTCTACCTTCGTACCTTCCTTCCTCGTCTACATCATCATCAGCACCATCTCATGCTCAATCCGCCGCCGCTGTTCTTGAAGTCAGAATACAAATATATTAAGGCCGCTGCGTGTGTTATGCCATCAGTTTGAGATTTGTTTTCACAGAGTGAAGTTCAATATCACCAAAAACAGAAGAAGAAAAAACTAGGTTTTGAAAACGAAATCGGCTACAAGTGAAGGAAAAAGTAAAACAAAATCTCAAGCCAAGGAGAAAAAATATTTGAAATTGTTTCGAAATAACACCAGAAAAAAAAGAAAAGATTCCAAGAATTTAATTTAAGCAGATAATGCTGTGGTTGGTGATAAAAATTTAATTACCAAGAAATTTAAAGTGAAGTGATAAATAAATAACAGAAAATTGGAAAATTTCCAAAGAAATTACAACAACATGAAGAAAATATCAATGATAAATTGTGTGTGGGTCTTGATTTTAATACCCCAAATTTGGGGATTAAATTTCGGTTACACCTCAAGAGTTTGATGGCAAAACAGCAGTTACAAATCGATCCGGAGGGTCGTTTCGATATTATCGAAAGGCCAGAACAATTTATAACAATTGATAAACAGATTGTAAGTCATGTTTGGTTTTGTTGTTGTGGAAAATGAAAATTAAAATTGAATATCATTTCAAATTAAACACAGGCTCCCAATACCAAAGGTAACACGGCCGGTAAATCACCCGCCCATGTCCAGCATTTACTGGAACTGGCTGCGGCAGAAGCCGATCGCGAATCTATGATGTCATCGAAAAAAGGACGCAAAAAACCACAAAATCACATGCCTGCCTTCCTCTACAATGGCGAGGCCAGCAAAATACAATCGAATGCCAAAAATATTGAACACGATATACACCACAATTTCTTTTATGAGCGCAACATCATTAGCCAGCCCAGTGTTCCGCCAGAGAAACTGATAAACGAGAAGAAAGACAAGGGTGATGATTCTTCGGGCATACCCAAGGAGCAACTGAGACAAATGACCCTAAAAAGGTAAGACAAGCCGAAATCTAAAAAAACACTACAAAAACACCAACAACTGAATATCGAAATTGCCAAAAACGAAAACGAAAAACAATACGAAAAGCAGGTGTTTCCAGAAACCACTTGAAAAAAATAAGAATCAAACAAAAGGATTTTGAATAGCCTTCAAATGGTTTGTTAAACAACATCAAATCTCAGCATGGGTTAAAAAAATTGAAATTTATTTCAAACAGCAGGTGTCTTTTTTTTTGGAGGGAATGATATATATCAAAATCACCTGGAGAATTTTGAACCAAAAATTAAATTTATTTGAGTTAGAGTTAGAGATAAATCAAGGTCTTTAGAAGGTTGGTAACAATAAATAGTGGGCCTTTATTTAACAAATTTCAATGGGGAATTAAAAGAAGACAAAAAATAAAAAAATCCTGATTTTGCAGTTGCTCTACAGGTCGCAGTTATAGACCAACCGAAGTGGAACTTAGTATGGGATTAGAGTTTAGGGCTGGGCGGAAACCTACCAATTTGAATGGTCATCGAATAATATTTAGGGGGTAAAATAGAAATATTGCCTAGGATTCATATGGTCCACAGAGGTATAAATGGAAAAAAAGTGAAATATGGAATCCAATGTTTAGAACTTATAATAAAATCCTGAAAAATATTCCAAGAGATGCAAGGGAAACATGTCGATATTTTTAATAAAGCTGAATCTTTTTCTATTTAAATATGACATCCTTTTTAGGTCGATCATATTATGACACTAATTGAAAATATTTAAAAAAATATATATAAATATTTTGACTGGCCAGGATATCGAACTCGCGACATTCTGTGAGAGAAATAGGCCAAGAAATTATTCCCGCGGAAATTACAGGTGGGACGAATATGATATGTTTCTTACCTCAATTCAGGAGTACAGATAAATTATAGGGCACTTGCCTTCTATCATCTTTCTTCAATTTCCTTCTATCAATTTTTTTTTAGCTTTTTTTCAAGGGCATCGAACCTACCACCTTCCGTTCTTATCGGTTTGATATAAAAAACGGGAGTATTCACAGGGTGCCTTGAAGTTAACTCAGTTTAAAGAGGATTTCTCTATACAATTTGTTATCTCAAAGAAGTTTTATAGATTTTTCTATCCTAAGCAGTCCCACTCTCCCATACATTTATGAGCTCGAGTCTCTTCGCACCCCTGGCTACGTCAGTACCCTATTGTAAATAATTTGTATTTTGAGTCGATTAAACGATGTTCGTCTGCCTTCTTAATTAAATTCCGATATAGTTTAGATAGGGTTCTGAAATTTAACGCGGGACATTCTAGTATTGAAAAATTTTAATTTTTTTTTTTAAATTATGGACCTGATGTTCAGACCAAGTTGGCTGTATTGTGACATTTCGGGTTTAAAAGTAATAGATTTTCTATACCAAGAGACTCTCCCATAATGTATGTGCCTCTTCATACCCCTGGCAACGTCAGCGCCATTAAGTAAATAATTCTTCTTGTTCTGAGTCGATTAAACGGTGGTCTTCTGCCTCGTTATAAGAATCCGATATACTTAAGAAGGGGTGCTAAAATTTTACACTGGTTAATGTAGTTTTGGGTTAATCCCTTCGAATAAAAATATAATCAACATAGGGCTGGGTCTTCAAAGTTTATAAATTTTTAACGTCCTGGTTACATTTCTGACTCTTACACCTGGTTACTATTTCGTGTTATATAAAATTAGAAGACTTTTCCTAAAATAATCCTTTCTGTTTACTCCCTTTTGTAAATATCTGTAATTTTTCGAATTTAAGGCCATAGCTACAATTTCAAACCAAAATGCAGTACGATGACATTTTGGGATCCCAATGAGCAAGATACCTTCTTCCAAGCAAAATTTCTTTATTACACATTCCTCGTTAGATTTTCAGTTCAGAGGACCTTCATAGGGTTATAATGCACCAAACTCTTCTAAAAATCATCTATCGCTAGAAAATTTCTCAAAAGACTCTCTCTCTCTTTCATGGAAGACTTCTAGAAAGTGTTCTCTCTCCCTCTCTCTTTCTCTCTGGAGGCCTCTAAAGGATATTTCATCTTGTGAAAAACTCAAGACAGTTTTGTCCCTACGTAAGACCTAAATAATATCTGATAAAGATAGAAGTCTGCTATAAGGACTCTCATTACAAAAGACCATATGATTCATTAAGGCTTTTCAAGTGAAAGCAACTTCACTTTTTGGACTCTCAATTTTATAGCCTGACATGAAAAATTCAAAGAGAACTACATTTCGGCCTAACCTGCCAAAATATATTATGATGATCTGTTTTGGGGATAATTTTTGATCATATGCTCTTAATAATTTCTCTTTCATTATTTTGCTCATCTCTTCTTTGAGCCACTGGTGAGAGGGCGCCCTTCTTGATTAATTCTACCTAAGTCAAATATGAGAATTTGCTCTTTTTAAAATTGAAGCCATTTTCTCTTAGTTTTTACAAATCAACTTTTAAGTATTGTTTAATTTCTTTGATTTTTTTAACAATAATACTGTTTCTAATATCAGTCTAATCTAATATTTTATTATCCCTTAAATTCAACTTTTTTAATTTTTCTCATTTCCGTCTCACTTCCATAACATAAAAAATATTTAATAAGCCCTATCATACTCGCTTATTCTTATTCTCCCATAATAAGGAAACAACAATCACATTGCTCTTCATTAGTTCCCCGTTACTTCTTGTCATTCTCTCGCGCTCTCTCTCTTCCCTTTCTCTTTTCGAAACCAACAAATAACTCGTGCTATTGTTATGCCATTTGACTCAGATATCAAATCTCAAGTATCCATGTCTTTTCACGGTCTCTGTGATCGTCGAGCTGCTACCTGGTTTCAAGTGTTTTATGATAGCTCTTGTTAAGCACCCACTTTAGTTAACAACCGAACAATGATAATATTTTTGCAACATCCTTGATCCCTTTTTACCTTAAGTACCATCACCTCGGCCACTTATGTTATCCTGCTGTCGTCTTTTCAATTCAATTCGTTATGGGTTTTACCCAGGAATTTCTACGGCTCCTTATGAATTGTCATTGTAGGTACTATATGGCTGTGTGAAATTTCCCTGGAAAATCCCAGGAGGTTTTCAATTAAGCATGTTTTTCTTATTTGCTTTTACCTGCGCGACATGATCGCGTTGTAAAGCGAGAGGGAAGGATGGATTGAATTACTTGTTACCTGCTAGTTGGTTGGCTATTTAAATGATATCAAGATCATATTATGTTGTATTTATGGCATGTTTTTAATTATTTCTTCCTCTTCTTTTATTTTCAGGCGTCTCTTTAAACAGTTGAAGGGTAAAAAAGTGAGAGTGGGTGGTGGCGGTGCCATGGAGGGTGGTCGTTTTAAGAAACACAAAAAACGCCACAATCAAAAACACCATGCACCAAGTCACAAAAAGGATGATTCGTCAAAACGGAAAAAGGAAATGATCAGGTAAATTAAATATAAATTAAATATAAAAATGTGATTAGTTAGAAAGGGGGTGTTCTGTGATTTTTTTACAATATTTTGGGTATTTATGGGTATAGCATATCAATAAAAAGACAAACAATTAATGGGCTGGATCTCATAAATCCAAAAGTGTGGAAAATTTTAGATTTTTTTATAAATGGGACAAATATTTAATATGTTTATATTTCCGCAGAAGTTATATGAGATATATCCTGCTTTTTAGGACCTGAAAATTGTTTAATATTAGTTCCCTAGAAATTACCTTCAAATTTATTTCTCTTGAGAAATATTTTATAAAAAGAGGGTTTCTTCTGTAAAATGTCCTTCAAAAAAACTTTCTTTATATTTTTCACAAAACTTCTACAATACCACCCTATCTCCGAAAACTTCTAAAGAACGCATATCGATAGAAAACTTTTATTAGAGCTTCTTTTTATATAAGCCTCCGTAAGGTATCCTATAAAATGCAAGGATTCTCTAACGGGAAGACTTAAATAAATTCTAATTATAGAAGATTAATATAAGACTTAAGGAAAGTATTCTATTATCCTAAGAGGAATACCTGATTTTTTCATAAACGTATTTTTATAGAATACATTGTTTTTATAGAATATAAGACTCCTCTATATAGAAAAAAAAATCATGCATTTATTCATAATTTCCTTCATAGCTCATTTTTCCATACTCCCCTAGAATATTTGTAAAATTTCATAGAATCATATTATATCCACCATTTTTCAGAAATATGCAAGCTTTTCATACATTCCGAAATTATGTTTTTAAAATCCCCAAGTATACCACTCTACTTTTTCTGCTTTCTCCTGCTTTCTAACATGCTCTCTCTCATTCCACAGCCAATAGTGGTGGTTAGTTTTGGTGGATTGCTTGGCTCGTTTTAGTCCTGTAAACCATGTCTACGTGTCTCTCCTCTCTTTAACGGTCTCTCACATCCATCATAACTAATGGGGTTTACATACAAATAATTCGCATATGAATTTTCCAATTCAATTCGGTGTCAGTAAAAAGAAGGCTGCTCAAAACCTTGTGCTGGCATATCGGTCCGCAAAAGAAAATATTTAAGAGAAATTAATAATGTCTTTAAAAACCGCCCTCTCTATCAAAATTGTTTTTCGCTTACTCTCTCTCTCTCTCTCTCTCTTCTCTCACAATAAGCCATTTTTTTAGTTTTATGAACAGAGTTCATAGAATGTCATCAAAAATCACTCTCTTTACCAAAATTGTTTTTCGCTTTCACTCCCTCTTTGCTCGCACATTAAGCCATTGTTTTTAATTTTATGAACAGCGTTCATAGAATGTCAACAAAAACTGCCTTCTTTGCCAAAATTATTTTTCGCTCTCTCTATCTCTCTCTCTCCCTTTTTACTCTCACACTGCTTCTAGTTTTATGAACATAGTTCATAGAATGTCTTTACCAAAAATTGTTTTTCGATCCCTCTCTCCCTCTTTACTCTCACAATAAGCCAGTGTTTTTGGTTTTATGAACAGAGTTCATAAGAGTAGAATTCCAAACATTGGTTACCCTTTCTTAACACTAGATTTATACTTTGAGAAATTTTCGATTTTTTTTTTTGCTTTTTAATCCATGTAATCCTTTCTAAGCAAACCTATTTCCACTAGATCTCGGGAATTTCGTTTTTATTTATAGAATATTTTAGTTTGCCCACTGAAGTCCTCTAGATGGACTTTTATTAATGGAAGATTCCTTTTTAGGATGTTTCTTCCACGTAGAGCTGAGTTCCACACTTGAAAGACGTTACTATAGAAGACCCGACTTTTGTCTTATATTATCCATGGAAGGCCTCTAAGATATTTTAAGCATAAAATATCAATATGAGTTCTTTTATTCATGGAAGGTGACGAAAGATCCATTCTTACACCGAAGGACCAAATTTCATACAACTTATATACAGGGCTCAAGTCATAGAGGATCTATGTCACATATTGAGAACATTTGATAAATCCTGAAGATCTTCTATCCCTAAAATACCTCTACAAAGTTTCCTGCCCTTACAGATATTCTGAAGCCATATAAAGTTTTCTATCCACCACTACAGGTTTTCTACCCCTGGCGTATTTTATTGACTAATTTCCGAGTCAATTCTCAGTATTTAATTGACTAATTTCTGAGATAATTCTCCCTTCAAAACCTTCTTAGATATCCTTTTACTATTATTTAGGGCTTTTAGAAAGCTTTCATACTTCCATTTCTAGTCCAAAAAATCCGAAATATTATTTTCTGTAGATATTTTTTAGATACATACACACATTTTTACAATGCCACAGAGAAGCCATTATAGCCAAAATTTATTCAGTTTTTTTTTCATAAAAAATTAAATTTAATTTTTAAATATTTTTCTCATTAAGAAAACTGTACTAAATTTGGCCTATACCCTTCTCTTTCAGGGAATAAAAGAAAAAACTCATAAATATTCGAAAGGCTGTAAAACTTCACAAAGGAGTGATCTCAGACATCCAAAACTGAACTAAGATTAGAATTAAATTCATATTTTTTTAGAAAATGTTATTTAAAAAAATAGTTATAAATTATAATGTAGATATTTAAGAACGAAAAATAAAAATAAAAACCTTGTTATAATTTTGAAAAATAAAAAAACCATTTGTTTTCCTTTTTCTTAGTCCTAAATTGCCTAGAGCTCAAAAACATCTCTTGACCCAGTATCAACAACAAAATGATGTTCATCGCAGCCGGAGAGCTGTGACGGCGAAGAAAGAACGTATCTGGGACTATGGGGTGATACCCTATGAAATTGATCACATTTTCAGTGGGGCCCATAAGGCGCTGTTCAAACAGGCCATGCGGCACTGGGAAAATTTTACATGCATTAAATTTGTGGAGAGAGATCCGAAAGTGCATCCCAACTATATTTATTTCACCATCAAGAATTGCGGGTAAGTAATGCGCATAACCCCATCTCCAATATCATAAAATAATCCAAATCTATTCTCCCTAGATGCTGTTCATTTGTGGGCAAACGTGGAAATGGACGTCAGGCCATTTCGATTGGACGCAATTGTGAAAAATTCGGCATTGTCGTCCATGAATTGGGTCACGTTGTTGGATTTTGGCATGAACACACCCGAGTGGATCGTGACAATCACATTATCATCAATAAGGCGAACATTATGAAGGGTCAGGAGTACAATTTTGATGTCCTTTCTCCGGAGGATGTTGATTCGTTGGGCCTGCCCTATGACTACAATTCCATAATGCATTATGCCCGCAACACCTTCTCGAAAAGTGTCTATCTCGATACAATACAACCGATCGGTGTGAGAGAACATGAAAAAATCGAAATTGGCCAGAGAGTTCGGCTGAGTCGTGGCGATATTGCCCAAGCTAATCTCTTGTATAAGTGTGCCACATGTGGTCGAACATTTCAACAGAATGCAGGACAAATTATTGCCCCGCATTATAATTATCGATCGAGTGTACGGGATCGTGAGAATGATTTGGATGTTGAGGGTAGCGGAAATGGAGTGTATGATGAAGATGGCGATGAGACGTCAACGGATTTTGATAAGTCCTTGGAGTCGTGTGAATGGAGAATAACGGCAACTAATGGTGAAAGGATTATACTGCAATTGCATCAAGTGGTAAGTGAAAACAATGGAAAATTGGTATAATTTGCTATAATGATATAGGGTAGGAAAAACGAAATTGGTAGCCCAAAATGTGCACTTCCTGCTGAATATCCATTTAAAAATGGAGACCACCTAAAAAAGGCTAAAACTATTATACAATGCTTAGTAGAAACTATTACATAAATCCACGATCAATTGTCTTTCGGAAAAATAATTTTTAAAAAATCCACGACTAATTATCTTTTGGAAAAATAATTTTTAAAAAAATCCACGACCAATTGTTTTTCGGAAAAATAATTTTTAAAAAAATTCACGACCAACTGTTTTTCGGAAAAATAATTTTTAAAAAAATCCACGACTAAATGTCTTTGACAAAAAAATTTAAAAAAAATACGACTAATTGTTGTCCAAGAAGAATATTTTTAAAAATCCACGACTAATTGTCTTTGGGATTTTTTTTAATTATATTTCTTTTGGAAACATATTTTTGAATTCACAACTAATTGTGTTTCACAAAATATTTTTTCGCTAAAAATCTATTTTTTTAATGATACAAATAATTGTATTTCGAAAAAATTTCTTTGAAAAATTACGACTAATGGTCTTTAAAAAAATATTTTTCTTTAAATCCACGACTAATAGTTTTTTGGAAGAAAGATTTTTTTTAAATCTACAACTAGTTGTCTTTTGGTGACATATTTTTTTAAATCCACGACGAATAGTCTTTTGGTGAAACACTTTTTTAAAAATCTTCAATCTGAAAAATATTTTGTTTAAAAATCCACGACAAATTGTCTTTCAGAAAAATAATTTTTAAAAAATCGATACCAAGTTGTTATGCAATTTTTTTAATCCACGACTAATAGTCCCTCGGAAAAATATTTTTACATTATTAAATTATAATTTAAATTTTTTATCCAAAAAATATTTTTTAAAAAAATTAGAGAATAATTATCTTTCGGAAAAATAACTTTTAAAAAATCCACGAAATATTGTCTTTCACAACTAAGATTTTTTTTTTGTAAAAAATCTACGACTGAAAAAAAATTAGTTTTTAAAAAAGGTAAAATCTTACTGATTTGGGCCCATTGTGTTTTTTTTTAAGTGATATAAATTACATCATTGGTTTACTTAAAAGCGAAGTAGTAAACACCCCCGTTGCATAAAATCGTATATCTTCAGAAAATCTTCAACAGTTTTTCTTTCCTAAAATTACTTTTTTTTCAACAGTTTTTCAAAAAAAGGATGCTCATTAAATTTCATTTAAATATTTTTCATAATTTCTTTGAAAATATAAACCATTTTTTACTAAATTGAAATAATCAAACATTTTTCTTTCTTTCTCTAAATTTCTGCCTTTTTGCTTCAGAATTTATTATCATCACCTGATTGCTCCAAGGATTATATCGAAATACGAGACGGCTATTGGCATAAATCGCCGGTTATTCAACGACTCTGTGGAAATCATACATCTGTTACCATAAAAAGTGATTCCAGCCGAATGCTTATTAGTTACGTCAACAGGCACGGAGGAAGTAAGGGTTATCGTGGTTTCATTGCGGACTTTGAAGGTAAGTCAAAATTATTTAATAAGAAAAAAAAATGAATATAACTTGAGTTAGGGAATTTCTTAACACATTCAGATAAATTTACAATTTCCTACGTAAAAATTCCGTATTATTATTTTTTTTTTTTTTTTCAAAATTATTTATACTCAGGAGACCCCTTGTGAGGGAGGTACCAGAAGGAGTGGACCGATATATTCCATCTTCATATCACCCCCCACAAAATTATCAGATTTAGGGTTTTAACCCGAATCCGCAGTAAATTGTCACTTGTTTAAAATATGTTACTGCAATCTCCCCGAAAAATACCGAAAGTAGATGAAAGTTTTAAAATCCATACAATATTTTTCAGAAATATATTGAAGTAGCAGAGTTTGGTCAAAAATTCTGAAAAATAGTTTTGTGAGCTTAGAAGTGTGAAAATTTTCTCCGGAAGTAATAATCCGGAAATAATACTCAAGAAAAAAAAATGGAAAATTCAAGTTTTTTTGGGAATTAATATTTAAAAAATCAAAAAAAATATCAGATAGTTTTGAAAATTATATTTCCACAAATTTGCTGAAGAGGACTTACAAATATATTATTCTCCTTTATTTCAGTGTTGAGAAAACGGAAACGGTGAATGATTTTCTCTCTCTCTCGCTCCAATCTCAAATTCCCTTCTATTTTTCATATAATTCTAATTAGGCGATCTGCTTATCCAAATTTTTCTATTATTTAGGGTAAGTCCAAATTTTTGTTTTTTACCGTAGGAGTTGAAAAGTAGCTTGCGATAAATTAATATATTTTTTATAGTCAAGTAGATGTCGTTGACTACTTCTAAGGAGAGTGAGAGAGATATGGAAATAGAGAGTAATGCTCAATCCATTGCTACTTTAATTTATTTTCTTTTTACGTAGTAAAGAGCAGAAGACGACTTTTAGATTTTTCATCGATCGATTTTGGATTTTTGTTCTCCAACACGAATTTCCGAATTTTTGGTAGAAATTAAATTGCAGGCGCGCATTAAAGTTGTTAACCAGTTTTGCCGTGGAACTGAAAAAAATTGGCAATTTAAATCAAAACAACTTTTTGTTGTTGTTATATTTTGAAAAATTCTGAGAGGAAGTTGCCATATTCTCGGGGCTGTATTTCTGTAGTATTTACGAAGATGTTGTATATCACCTTATTGTACTTTGGTTTTAGCCAACGGTTGTTGAAATCGACTTTCTAATTTTTTTACAGGTATTATTGAGAGAGTAGAAAATCGTATCCAAAATGACATAGATTGTTGCATGCTTTGCGTCTCATGTACATTTTGAAATGACTTAGGAAAAAGCCGATTTTTTTAAATCAAAAGAAGCATTCCTCCTAACTGTTTATACCTCACAGCACATTGTGGTACAGGATATTATGTCTTTGTGCATTTGTTTGTAATATGGAAATGGACCAAGAATTTCTTTTGATGATTCTGTCCGTCCATTTGTCTATATATGTATTTTTATACCCTCCACCTTGGAAAGGAGGGTATATTAATTTTGTCATTCCGTTTGTAACATCCTTAAATATTCGTCGTAGACCCCATAAAGTATATATATTCATAATCAGCATAAAATTCTTAGTCGATTTAACGATGTCCGTCTGTCTGTCTGTTGAAATCACTATACAGCCCACATTATTTGACGTAGAGCGCCAAAATTTAGCAGAGCAATTGGTATTGTATCTAGGATGGTTAGTATTGAAAATGAGATATATCGGTCCACGTTCTGGCATAGTCCCCATATAACGGTACCTCCCGATATTCGGTATTTTGATGATTTATGCCACATTTTTTCACGGATTTATCTGAAAATTGGTATTTGTAGATCATAACGGGTCCCTGTACGTGTGGCAAAATATTGCATGTATAGGTCCACGTTTTGGTATAGCCTACATATGATGGTACCTCCCGATATTCGATATTTTCATTATTTTTGCCACATTTTTTTAACGGATTTGTCAAAAAATTGGTATTTTTTAGCTCCGGTGGCGAAACATTGCATGTATGGGTCCATGATTTGGTATAGCTACCATATAACGGTACCTCCCGATATTCGGTATTTTGATGGTTTTTGCCTCATTTTTTCACTGATTTGTCTAAAAATTGGTATTTGTGAGTCATAATAGGTCCCAGTTCGTGTGGCGAGTCATTGTAATTATATGTCCACGTTTTGGTATAGCCCCCATATAACGGTACCTCCCGATATTCGGTAATTTGATGATTTTTGCCACATTTTTTTCACGTATTTGTCTGAAAATTGGTATTTGTAGGTCATAATGGGTTCTAGCTCCGTTGGCGGAACCTTGCATGTGTAGGTCCACGATTTGGTATAGCCCCCATATAACGGTACCTCCCGATATTCGGCATTTTAATGGTTTTTGCCACATTTCTTCTAATGTTTCCTTTACCCTAAGGTGGCGGGTATTAAAAGTTTGGCCCGGCCGAACTTAATGTTTTTTTACTTGTTTATATATCGAAATGAAAATAGATATTCTAGGCCAATTTTTAGATATAGCTCCCATGTGCATTTTCGTCCAAAATTGTCTTTTATGGTGCACCAAATGTCTAATATTCGTTCAAATAGGATGCGATCAAGTTGAGCCTAGAGCCATTTATTGCAAAAAATTGGTATGTCAAAATCGTAAAATTCGTTTCAGATATTTGTCCTCTTCAAGAACTGCAAGAATGTAAAATTTTTAACTACGATAACCGATATTCCCTTTATGGTATCGAGAAAAATTGCAAAAATAGTAGATTCTTTCAGGATATTCTTTCAGGGCATAGTTATAGCTCTCTTATATATTGTTCTTCTCATCTCTTATTTTTGTTCCCGACAGTTGTAAAAAGTTCTCCATAACAAGAATATCGAATACAGCTCAAAAATACTTTTGCCAAATTTTATGAAAATCGGTTCAGATTTGAATATACCTTCCATTTATATCCTTTATCCGATTTGAGTTTTTATGGTTAATATAAGCCCAAATTTAGTGGATTTTAGCACATACAACCGAATTCAGCCTGGAATAAAGTGTGCCAAATTTCAAAATCGGTTCGGAAACAGCTAAAGGTCCCATATATATATTTTCGCCGCAAATTATATTAAATTCTCTGCCGAAAATATAAGATGTGGATATAGCTCCCATATATATCAGTCATATATATCAATCAGCTCAAATAGGATGAATTCGGTAAAAATCAGTGCAGACACAAGTGCCTCTTGCAAATTTAGTGGAAATCGATTCTGAGTAGTAAAAAACCTTCCATAAATAGCTAAAAATTATAAGTCCTCCAAAGCCACATAAATTGGTCTTTCTCTACTGGTTATTATCTAGAATTAAGTTTAAATATTTAATAAAATAATATCAAAAAAAAAAAAAATTAAAATTTAAATTTTTTTCTTTTCAGTTGTATGTGGTGGCGATATTTTTCTAACCGAAGATCGGCGCATAGACTCACCCAACTATCCCTTGGAGTATTTCCCCGACAAGGAATGCATTTGGCGTATAACGGTTCCGGATAATCATCAGGTGGCATTGAAATTTCAATCCTTTGAATTGGAAAATCATGATAACTGCATTTACGATTATGTCGAGATAAGGGATGGCAATAGTTCCGATGCGGATTTGATTGGAATATTTTGTGGCTATAAATTGCCGCCCAATATTAAGTAAGTTAAAAAAAAATATTTCTTTTTATTTTTGAGGATTTCTAATATTGAAAATTTTATTTTTTTGCAGGACAAATGGCAATCAAATGTATGTGAAGTTCGTATCTGACGGTTCGGTGCAAAAAGTTGGCTTCTCGGCCGAGTTCATGCAGGAAGTCGATGAGTGCCAGTTCAATAATCATGGCTGTCAACATGAATGCATCAACACCCTGGGCAGTTATCAGTGTGGCTGTTTTGCCGGCTATGAATTGCAGGCGGATGGCCGAAGTTGTGAAGGTAAGCAATCAAATCGGAATAGTGAATGGGATTTAATAACACGGGACTTCTGTTTTTGTTTTTCTTTTCAGATGCTTGTGGCGGCATCATTGATGCCAGTGTGGGTAATGGTACGGTAAATTCTCCTGGGTGGCCAGATGTTTATCCCATCTCCAAGGAGTGTGTGTGGGAAATAGTTGCCCCACCCCATCATGCCGTCTTCCTGAATTTTACCCATTTCGATTTGGAGGGCACAAAAATGCAATACACCGAATGTAATTATGATTATTTGGTAATCTATTCTAAGCTGAGAGATAATCGTCTAAAGAAAATTGGGGTCTATTGTGGCCATGAGTTGCCACCCACAATCAATTCGGAGCAGAATATATTACGTTTGGAATTCTACTCGGATAAGTCGGTGCAGCATTTGGGATTTTCGGCCAAGTTTGAGACGGGTAAGTAAGAGAGAGAGAGAGAGAGAGAGAGAGAGTAAAATATAAAATTGTAATGTGTGTTTCTCTTTTGTATTGCAGATACCGATGAGTGCAGCATCAACAATGGCGGCTGCCAGCATTTCTGTCGCAACACTTTTGGTTCCTATGTGTGCAGTTGTCGCAACGGTTTCACTTTGGATGAAAATCACCACAACTGTACCGAGACCAGTTGTAAATTTGAAATCACCAATCCATATGGTGTCATCTCCAGTCCCCATTATCCTGAGGATTATCCGCGCAACATTTATTGCTACTGGCATTTCCACACGGTTTTGGGTCATCGCATCCAGCTGACATTCCATGATTTTCAATTGGAAAATCATCAGGAGTGCATCTATGACTATGTGGGTATCCACGATGGCAAATCGGAGAATAGTTCCATTTTGGGTATATATTGTGGTGGCAGGGAGCCCTATGCCGTGGTGGCCTCCTCCAATGATATGTTTATGGTTTTGAAAACGGATGCAGGGTTGCAGCGTAAGGGGTTTATGGCAACCTATTCGACGGGTAAGTGGATATATATTCAGTTAAAAATAAATAGGTTACTAATTTTGTCCTCTCTCTCCCTTACAGAATGTGGTGGCTATCTAAGGGCCACAAATCGCAGTCAAATATTTTATTCCCATCCCAGGTTTGGTTCACGAAACTACAAACGCAACATGTACTGCAATTGGCGCATACAGGCCGATCCCGATAGCAGTGTTAAAATAAAGTTCCTACACTTTGAAATTGAATATTCGGATAGATGTGACTATGACTCGGTGGAAATCTCCGAGGAGCAAAGTTTTCAAAGGAATACCTTCCATGGCAAATATTGTGGAAATAGGGTAAATTTTTGATTTAAATTATTTAAAAATATATAAAACTAATCATTTTTTTATTTTTAGAAACCCCCCGTCATTGTGTCCTATTCCGACACCATACTAATACGCTTCCAAACCGATGAATCCACATCGCTGCGAGGATTTGCTCTCTCCTTTGTGGCCGTTGAACCACCAGATGATGATGTGTCCGATGATTATATGTCTGTGACCCCATTCCCGGGCTACATGAAGTCTGTCTACTATGGCACCGACACCAATTTCGGCAATGACTACGATCAAGACGATTATCGGGGTATACGAAATTACAAACCCCATCGCTCAACGGGCCAACGATTACGTCTCAATTGAATTAATTTCTCACCGATTTTAAAACAAAAATAAAATCAGTTGTGAAATAAAATTCATAAAATGTTGGTTCCTCCATTGTTTTTGTTCTCATCACAAAAAAAAAACACATTAATTTTAATTACTAAATTAGTTGTTGTTTATTATTATTATATTGTACATTAAAAGCCTTTGTAAATATTTGCCCTCTAAGATATCTAAGAGATAACACTCACACACACACACACCCAACCACCCACACAATTGTATAAAGTCCACAGAACCATAAATTAATTTTTATGTTTTCTTTTTATGTGTACTAATTAAATGTTGATATGAAATTAATATAAATTAAGTTTAAAAGAAAAAAATTAAATATTTTGGTGATTTGAATTTTGAACAACAGTAATGAGGTGAGTTTCCCAAGAGGTTTGAAATGCATATTAACGGTTATACAGTTTTAAAGGCACTAAGTGATGGGGAGAGAGAGAGAGCATACATACATACATTTCATGTGTAGATGGCGCTAAAAGTCACAGAGCTAGAAGTTTAACGGGGAAATTTAATAGGTGCACATTTTAATGTGGTCCTTCCATGGTGGAATAATACAGGTAGATGCATTAGCGATTAATTTCGGGTTTTATAAACTTCCTAGATATTCAAAATTTTGACCCTTTTTGGAGAAGTTACCAGAAGGAGTGGACCGATATATCCTATTTTCACAGCAAATCTTCTGTTAGTAGAAGTAATGGGATATGTGAAGAGAACCGCATGCTTTTCTCCGAATTTTCTATGACTTTTGTGGGAGAGGTACAAGAAGGAATGATCCGATCTCTATCATCTTTATAATAGATCTTGTGTTGATAGAAATATTGAAATACGCCAAGTCTGAATGGAATCGAGCTTCACGGATATTTAAAATTTTGACCCGTTGTGGGGAAGGTACCAGAAAGAGTGATCCAATATATCCTACATTCACACCATGGTACAATGAAGAGAAGGTAGGCCAACTTTGAAAAAATTGCAAGTATAGAGGTCTACCTGTTTGGCTTGTAATGTCAGAATTAGTATCAAAACAATAAAAAAATCAAACAACTTGTTGCATTTATTTTGAATAAATAATTGAAAACCGCGATAACTGAATGGAAGGTCAACACTTCTTTTCATAACCATGTTCTATATATCTCTAAAGGATTATTTCGCTACAAAAACTCTAGATTTTGTCGATGCATACGATGAAATAAACATTTTGAAAACACTCGAATTTGAATATTTTCTAAACAATTTTTTGTTATTGAAAAGAAATCACATACATAAACAAATAAAGATGACATATTAAGCCAAAAAAATAAAAAAAATAAAATCATATGATATCATAGCCCTACCTTGATATCATTGTACCATGATACACACCAGATCTTGTGTTAATAAAAACTTATAAATATATATGAAATTTTAAGACAATCGGACTCTTACATCACATTTTATAAGAGTTATAATTATTCCGAATTTGGACCCTTTGGGGGGATGGTACCAAAAGAAGTGGTTCAATATGTACCGTCTTTGCACCATATATTTTGTTGGTAGAAATATTGACATGTGCTAAATTTGAAGACAATTGGACTCTTATTTAAAATTTTTTTAAGAGTTATAATTATTCCAAATGTTGACCATTTGTGGGAGTGGTACTTGATGGAGTGGACCGATATTAACCATTTTCACAACTGACCTAGTACTGATGCAAAAATTAGTATTCGCAAAGTTGGATCAAAATCGCAATATTCTTTCTCTTTCTGTTCAGAAAATATTTTTTTGAAAATTTCGACCCTTTGTGGTGGAGGTACCAGAAGGAGTGTACCGATATTGTCCATATTAACACCAGACCTTCGGTTAATAAAAATTTCGGAATATGTGAAATTTGAAGATAATTGGACTTTTATTTCACATTTTATAAGAGTTGTAATTATTCAAATTTTGACTCTTTGTGGGGAGGTACTTGATGGAGTGGCCCGATATTATCCATTTTCGCACTTGACCCAGCCTTGATGCAAATATTAGGATTCTTAGATTTAGAGCAAAATCAGAATATTCTTTCTCTTGCTGTGCAGAAAATATTTTTTTTTTTAAATTTCGACCCTTTGTGGGGGAGGTACCAGAAGGAGTGGACCGATATATTCCATCTTTACATCAGACCTTGGGTTGATAAAAATATTGGGATGTGTGAAATTTGAAGACAATCGGACTCTTACATCACATTTTATATAAATTGAAATTATTTAATTTTTTTTTATGGGTTGACAAATTTTGCGCAATTTTGCGGATTATCCTTTCTCTTTTTGTGCATTAAAATATTTTTTTTTTTGAAAGTTTCAACCTTTTTTTGGGAGCTAATGGAAGGAGTGGACTTATATTGCCCATCTCAGAACTCGATCTAAGTTTGACAATAATATTACGATGTAGCAAGTTTTGGCCAAATCACTCTAGAATTATCGTGCGCAGTAGCCAGACAGACGGACGGACGCTAGATCTTAATGTCCTGAAAGTGATTTGGTTCAAAGAGACCTATGGTCTAAAACCGTTGTATCGATGCGGCACGTTTTGCCCATAAGAGGGTATGAAAATTCAAATCACGAATCCGTTTATGTAGGCCTTGGCGGAGAGTATAAAAACCGTGTAATCAAACGAAAAATGTTGACAACTTACCATTGTGGTTGTGCATTCATCATCTGTCACAAAAGAACATTCAAAGAGTAGTGAAAACAATTAATGAGAAGAAGCATTAATACACATTTATCCTTATGAACTAAATTTTCACAAAAAACCTCGTTATTTATCACAATTTGTATTAAACATAAATTCGAAAAAATCTCACGAAAAATATAAACAACACCCGTTTATAATTAACAATCCGAAATACAACGAAAAAAACTAAAACTGACAATTAAAAAAAATTGAAGAAAATTTCCCAATAACTTTTCAACACAGACTTGAAAATATTGTTTTTGTCATGTCATATAACTCTGACGCCGAATTTTATTGAAAATTCGATTTAAAAAATTGAATACATAAACGTCTGAATTTTAAACGGAAGATCTAGACCAAAAGCATCAAAAAACATCGGCTAACTACACGGATTGATTGAAACAAAACGCCAATGAAAGAGATGAACAAAAGCTTGGAGTGAAATTAAACTACATCGAGAGACGAGAGTGAAAAAGACACACAAATGTTTCATCAAAGAAAGAATAGCAGAAGATTTTATCAATATTGTCGCAAATATTGTTTAGAAGGTGAGTTACATTTCTTATTAATCGTATAATCTTTATATTATTCAGTTCACCTTTTTGGTTAGTTTGTCATCTCCGTCTATGTGATTACCTTAGTACCGTTCAAAGGTTTTGACATCGTCTATTGACCTACTTACCGCCTTACCGCCATCTATATTTAACAAATGATTTACAGTTTGACAAACATATTTGGTTACTTATTGTGATTGATTCTAGCAATGACCTTTATTGTGACCAATATACGAAAAAACTGTTTGACACTAGATGGCGCTCAAACAAAAAAAAAAATTTGAAACTTTTTCCAAATAGTTTAGGCACAATAATTTAAGCAATTACTCGTTAGACCAAGATTTTAAATCTTTTTTTCTGAGGAGCGCAAGGAAGTAAGGTTCAGTTTAAAATCTTCCCGTCACAAATAATCCTCGCTGATTATAATGATGCAATATTCCTTGTGTAAATCTTCCAAATCGGGTAAAGTTACAACAGAGAGTTTTAAATCTGGGGGTGGAAACGAGATAGACCCATAGTTCTTTTTGATGATCTGCATAGAATCACATTCTGAGTCGATTTATGCATGTCCGTCCGTCTGTCCATGTATTTTTGTAAACAAAGTACAGTTCGCATTTATTGCCCTATCCAGATGAAATTTTGCACAAATCATGTGTTTTGGCCCAAGGACGAACCCTATTGAAATTGAAGATAATCGGTCAAAATTTAGATATAGCTCCCATATATATTTTTATCCGATTTTAAATTTTTGTGCACCAGATGTGCAACACAAGTCCGAATTTAAAAGATACACATGCTTCGGCATATTTAGTCCTTTGAAGTTTAAATAATAATTATAATCATATCGTGTATTATTAAATTCTCCCATAAAAACTTTTAATTGCTATGTGGAGCTCTAATAAATTAGTGGGGTAGGGTATCATAAAGTCGGCCTGTGCGACTTTAAGACTTTCTTTACTGGTTATAACTAACATTCAAATGTAGATCCCTTTATTCGGTATTTTAATGATATTTGCCACATTATTCATCGGCATTGTTTCACACTTCGTATTTGAATTTCGGAGTCGATACTGCAATCTGTGACAAAAAATTACTTATGCAGGTCTACTTTCTCGCATAACTTCTATATGTTTTTCGGGCGTTATTTTTCGATGGGCTTTTTTGAAAATTTTGAAATTATTTCCAAATGGTGAAGGGTATTAAAAGTTCGCCACGGATGAACATAGGTGTTATTTTACTTGTTTATATATAAATTTATACCTACTCTAGATCTGGTATACAGAATGGATGGAATGGATCACTCCTTCGGGTTCAATTTTTGGACAATAACGCTTATAAAATTAGAAATGTCCAATACTTCTGGTACCTCCCCCAAAAGGGGTTAATATTTTTAATACATATAACCCTCATAAATTCCATGACGCATTCGAACATCCTCGCAAAAAAAAAATATTTAATGTAATAATAACATTTTGTTATAGTCTCCTTCCTTCCTGTTTTTTGCTATTTGGAAGGTTTTGACTCCAATCTCCGTTCAAATCAAATATAAATTGAAATTTCTCCAAAAAAAAAAAATAATAATAATAGTAATAATAATAATTATATTAATAATAATAATAATAATAATAATAATAATAATAATAATAATAATAATATAATAATAATAATAATAATAATAATAATACTAATAATAATAATAATAATAATATAATAATAATAATAATAATAATAATAATAATAATAATAATAATAATAATAATAATAATAATAATAATAATAATAATAATAATAATAATAATAATATAATAATAATAATAATATAATAATAATAATAATAATAATATAATAATAATAATAATAATAATAATAATAATAATAATAATAATAATAATATAATAATAATAATAATAATAATAATACTAATAATAATAATAATAATAATAATAATAATAATAATAATAATAATAATAATAATATAATAATAATAATAATAATAATAATAATAATATAATAATAATAATAATAATAATAATAATAATAATAATAATAATAATAATAATAATAATAATAATAATAATAA